TTTTGTCTTGTTTCTTCATTTGAAATATATTCCTTTGTTGTCTCATTTTGCCTAATTCTCTGTGGTCATTTGTATGTATTAGGTAGGTTGGTTACAGTTCCCAATCTTGGAGAAGTGGCCATTTGTAGGAGATGTCCTTACGGGGGTCTGGTAGTACACTACCCTCTGGATGCAAACCTGTATGATCTAGGGCTGTCCTTTATATGTGCTCCATTGGCCCTTCTGTTGTGGTGAGGCTGACTACTGTGGCTGGGCTGGTAGGTGGGGCTGGTCCCTGGCCCGGTTGGCTGCCAGGCCCTGCCTTGTGCGAAGGCTGCTGGTGGGTGAGGCCAGGTCCTGCCTGGCTGGCTGTGGGCCCCAGGGCTGGAGCCTGTGCACTGGTGGGCCTCCAAATTATCTGATGATGATCTTGTTGACACTCCCTTGTATGTGACAACTTGCTTCCCTCTTGCTGCTTTCAAGATTCAATCTTTGTCTTTTTTTTTTTTTTAATTTATTTATTTTTGGCTGTGTTGGGTCTTTTGTTGCTGCACGCGGGCTTTCTCTAGTTTCAGCAAGCGGGGGCTACTCTTTGTTGCCTGCACGGGCTTCTCATTGTGGTGGCTTCTCTTGTTGCAGACCACAGCTCTAGGTGCATGGGCTTCAGTAGTTGTGGCACACGGGCTCAGTAGTTGTGGTGTGCGGACTCTAGAGCGCAGGCTCAGTAGTTGTGGCACACAGGCTTAGTTGCTCCATGGCATGTGGGATCTTCCTGGCCCAGGGCTTGAACTCGTGTCCCCTGCATTGGCAGGCGGATTCTTAACCACTGAACCACCAGGGAAACCCCATCTTTGTCTTTTTGAAAGTATGATTATAATGTGTCTTGGTTTGGGTCTCTTTGAATTAATCTTACTTGAAATTTGTTGAGCTTCTTGGATGTTTACATTTGTGTGTTTCACTAAACTTAGGAACTTTTCAGCCATTATGTCTTCTAATATTTTCTCTGCCCCTTTCTCTCCTTCTTCTGGAGTCTCATGATGTCCACTTGATGGTGTCCCACAGGTCCATTAGGCTCTGTTCACTTTTTTCAATCATTTTCTTTTTTGTTCTTCAGTCTCAATAATTTCACTGTCATATCCTAATGTTCATTAGTTTTTTCTTTTGCCTGCTCATATCTGCCTTTGAATATGCCTAGTGAATTTTTCATTGCAGTTATTGTGCTTTTCAGCTCCAGAGTTTTTTTGGTTTCTCTTTAGGTTTTTTAAATCTCTGATAGTTCCAGTTTGTTTACACATTGTTTATTTGACTTTCTTCATATCTACCTTTAGTTCTTTGAGTACCTTTAAGACAGTCGTTTAAAAATTTTGGTAGTATATCTGTCATGAGGTCTTTTTCAGGGAAAGATTCTACTGAATTATTTTTTCCTTTGAGTGGGCCATACTTTCCTGTTTCTTTGTATGTCTTGTGATATTTTTGTTGAACACTGGCATGTGAATCTAATAATGTGGTATTAACTCTGGAAATCAGATTCTCCCTCATCCCCAGGGCTTTCTGGGTTTTTAAAATTTGTTATTTTTGTTTTTTGATTGTTGCAGGCTGTCTCTGTGCTGAATATTGGTCTGAGGTGTAAAGTTAACATCTTCTCAGGTCTTTTCTGAGCCTTTCCCTGAACATATATTGTCACTTTCTAATTTTCCCCATATAGGCAGTTGTTTTTGAATGTCCTAGTCTTTAATGTCTGGCTCCTGAGAGAGGAAAATGCAAAAAGTGAAGGTGGGGGGAGGGCAAAAGGCCACTGGTCCTTTATATTCCCCTGGAAGTCACTTGAGCCAGAGATGGAGGGCCTTAAAATGATGGGGGAGCGGGGAAGATGAGACAGTGGCTTCCTGCCTCTTTGCACTTCAGTAATCAAGCAGCAATCCTACTCAGAGGACAGATGCTGAATATTCAGGGGACAGGGTCCTTTTTGCCCACCCTAGCTCCCACAAGCTGTGCCAGAAAACTTGCAGAGCTGCCTGCCACGTGGCTGGTGGTGGTGGATGGGTAGCTGCTATTGTACTAGCCGAAATTGACTAAAATTGCCTACAATATACCATCCATGCCTGGAAGTTGCAAGGTTTCAACACACTCCAGAATTCCAAAATAGTTACATCAGACAGATTCTGCCAGTGTAATTGTTGTCTAGGTGGGAGAGATTCCTGGTGCTTCCTATTCTTCCATCTCCCCAGAGTCCTCCTCCACTTCACATATGATCTGTTGGGCTGATGAACTCTGAGTTAATAGTGGAAATAGATTTAAGATCAGTGTGGCCTGAAGACCACAGATCCATTTTGCAGTTATGTCCCCTGCCCCAAGTCAAGTTGTTGCTGGTTCCCAATACATCAAGGGCCAAAATCAGGTTGCCGGCATTGCTAGAAAAACCATGTGGTTCTGGCCTCCACATCTCAAGGCAAGTAACAGGAATGAAGGGCCACTGAAATAGAGATGTGAGGCTGCCTTATGAGAAAGGGAGGAAGCCAATTTATTGAGCATCTACTAAGTACTGGTTTGGGCATAGTGTACGAAATGCTGAGATGGTGATGAGTAAAGGAATGCATGAGTTCCTTGATCCCTCAGTGGGGGGTCATATGAGTTTATTGTTTCGGCTGGTGTCAACTTTAGGAAGACTTTGGTATCTGTAAAGGGCAAGGGTATATATGTGGGTTCACGTTTTTACACTGAAAAGATCAGAAGTTCTGTGTGGAAATGTGGTTGTAAGCAGACATCAAATCAGTTAGAGTAACTAGAATTAGCCATTGCCTCCCCCAATACTAGTCATTAGCTACTTATTCTGCCCACCTTATCTCCTCAGTCAGAAGCTTTTAAGGAGATAATTTCTTGCTGTAGGCAGTATGATTTGGCTTTAAAGTTATTTTATGAAAGCATATTATCCAAAGTAGACCCAGGCCAGGAATATATTTAATGCCTCAAGAGAGGCTGAGACACTTGGGGGTATTTATAATGTGTCAACTAAGCCAGGTTTGAAATACATCTCCCAGAATTCCTTCCTTGCATAGTTTTAGGTTGGTAAGGACCACATGATCTTTTGTGAGATCCCAAAGGTAGAAACAGTGTAGAAGCCACATTCTTCTTCTATCTGGAAATTCAGTGTAAAGAGGGTTTAAGTGTCTGGCACATAGCAAGAATTCAAATAGTAATGACCAGTAAGCCTGTGGCTGCAGGACAGCTTTTTCTATGCACTGTTCTTAGCAACTGGTACCTACCCTACCCTTGTCAATGCCCGGCAGATTACTGAAGATTTCATTACTTGCCCTTGATTATGTTGAAAAGGTCTGGTCCCTCCAAACATGGGTACTGAAGTGTTTGCTGAAAACGAGCAGGCTGCAGAGGAAAACCTTTTGCCTTTTCTTGCTCCAACCAGATTCCACGGTGGTGGGTGGTGAGGATCTAATATCTGGTTTGTTTTTTCTTTCCTCTAAACATTGAAATTCTTTAACTCAACCCACAGCATGCTTTAAAAAGCAAAACATCCCTACCCTTTACATACTGGTTAATTCCCTGCACTTACTCCAAAGTAGACTATGAGGCCTATGGCTCTGTTGCCATTTCAGTTCCACCAAATGCTTGGGGATTTTAAGGAGCTATCAACATCTTATGCCATATGCCAAAAGAATCATGCTTTAGACTAGAAAAAGACCTATTTTGAAATTATAGAAGGGCATCAGGTGACCTGGATAACCACTTCACCCTTCTGGGTCCTCCTCATATCCTTGATTCTCCAGGGTCCTCAGGGAATCCCTGCTATATGGACTATGTTCCAGTCATCCCATCTGTAGGTAGCAGTTAGCTCCAACAGGTGCTGTCAGAGGTCTTCTTGGGAGCTACATTCAGTGATGTCCCCTTTCTTGCAATGTATCATTAAGGTCACACATGTAGATTATGTATGTTGAGATGAATTATATAAATAGCAGGGTCAAAATTATTGTGCCTTGTCTGTATAGTTTCCCTATCTCCCAAAGAAATGTCAGACAAGTAGGAGAGAAAAATCTGAAAGGAAGCACTGAGTTCCTTTTATGTACACTTTTGTCAGTCGTTGCTATTCAAACACGTAAGTAGCCAGTTGATGGAAATATACAGCTAGTTTGGGGAACTGTTTTTGGATTTTGATGAATCAGCTCAAATTAATGCTCTTTGTCACTAATGTTGGTGACAGTCCCTTGGAATACATTCTGATGCACCATGCTAAAAGAGGAGTCGAAGTGATGCCTTAAAGGCCAAATAACTATGGAGAAAACTCTTCACTGATATTCCTCATGCTTTGGAGCAGGTGCAGGCTGCCTCGAATTACCCAGATCACAAATTTATAGTTAGGAAACTCTCTTCTTATCTTCAAGATCCCTAGCTAATCATTATTTGTTTAGAAAAAACGTGCAAATAAAGGGAATTATTCCATTACCACATAATTTAGCAGCAAAGGGGGAAGAGTATAATTCAAATCCCAAGACGAAGCAAGGAATTCAAAGGGAATAAAAGGTGGCTGGAGCCTGTGTTAACCTGCCTGTAGGCCTTGGTGGTGCTATTGGGGTCGTAGTGCCCCCAGCCCCACAGCCCCCGTCTTTTGCACTGTGAATCAGAATTAACAAGCTACTTAAGAGGAAATACACGCTTAACGCAGAACACTGCCTGACGTATGCTTACTTATATTTTACATATTTATTAAAGGGCACAATTAAACCTTTTCATTTCCCCAAATGAACCTACCTTATACTCAGTTAAAATGGCAGAATATCCACTGGTTAATGAAAAAACAAAGTCTTCTTGTTTTTACAAAGATGCATAATCCCACTGCCTTTAGCCCAATGTTGATCAGTTGTGCATTAGAGCAAGGGGCAGGAGAATATTGTCTCTTGCCAAGTTTCTGAGGTCTCATTTCTTCAACTTGTCCCCCACCACAGTTTTTCAACCAAAACAACCTTTCTTGAAGACTATTTGAGCAAAACCAAGAAAAATGAGAAATCACATCTGTTTTTCTTAATTTATTTAAGGAACACCATAAAAGTGCATCTGAATACTTTTTTTAAAAAACCAATTTGTTTTTAATTCACCGGATGCTGCCTCACCACTCCAAATGCAGTCTAAGAGATGGTTCAAAGACATCTGCTGACTTCTAGACAAATTGTTTAAAATTATTGAATTTGATACAAGAATATGTGAAGTTTCTTTCTCTTGAGTGGTGATGGGCACCTCATAATCATTTGCTCCAAACCGCTTGCCCAGCCTTCCCCTCTCTCTCCTCGCCTGTTCACATGACTCATAACAGACGAGACAGTGGGCTAAGATAATAATCTAATTTTTGGAACAGTTTTTTGCTTGTTACCTGCAAAAATCTAACTGGACTTTTTAGGATCTAATTTTAACCTTAGCCTCACTGGAGTCATGCTCCAGTCAACAGAGCTACAAATACTAAATAGTTAAGTGGATAAGCAAAAATCAACTTTTGCTTTTATATTCCCTAGGTGAGATTTCTTTAAAAAAAGAAATAACTCATGAAAAAAAGACTAATGTGTAAATGAGAAATTAAAAGGATTTTAGTTATCGTTAAGGGAGAAACAATTCCATTTGTTCCATGGAGACAAAAACTGATATAAAAGGAAATGACTTTATTTTTAGGTTTTAACATGGGACCTAACCTAACAATAAGTGTTTTGTTAAAACCACTATAAAAATAAAAATTAATCTAAAATACAATTGCCAGTGTTCTTTAGGATTTAAAAAAGTGAGATGTTCCAGGTTGAAGCGAATGTTTTCTTGGGTTGCCAAATGCATTCCCATGAGTGTTTCTTATTTCTTAGGCTGTGGGACCAGAAAGCCATGCTTAATCTCGCTTACCCGTAAGGACTAAAATTCAACTACATGTACATATTCCCCCTTAAGACTTGCCCTAATTCAATGCCCAAGTACTGGAGATTTTAGGCTAGATGTACCTGCATGGGAAGCTGTTTGTTTTCAACTCTTTTTCACAACTCACACCAGAACAAAGCAGCTATCAGTGCAGGAAAAGAAAGCTACTGTATGTCAAACCTGAAAGGAAAATGCTTAACGTAGAAGAGCGATGACTTTTTTCAACCCCACAGATTTTGTTTTTAAAAATTAAGCTACTTAGCAGTAAAAAGTCAAAAAAATTTTTTTAACATGATAGAGGAGAGTAAATAAACTTCCATAAATCAGTATACATGTGTTTATGAGACAGCAATTTTAAAAAGACAACGAAAAGGCTGCATGGATCCTAGACAGATATGTAAATAAACTCACTCACTCCAGATATTATAAGAACAAGCCTGAAATTCTTGCTAGCAAGGGTTAGAATGGAAATAAGAAACTGAATGGTAGCAATGCGAGCAGGCAGTACTGGATTCAACATTCTTTCCTAAAAGGATAGAGGAGGGAAGAAAAAGCACAATTCTGATAGTTCTATTCACATTTCAGCATCTCAGAACTTCATCCAAAACAGGGAAAGCTAATCCAGAAATTCCCTCTGCTCATTAGCGTTGAGTATTTCAGGAATGACAGGGTTCCTCCTCTGGGGGGACAGGCTGGCGGGGCAGAAGCCTGCTCTCACAAGGAGGCTGCTTTACTAAGGAGGGGGTCTGGGAGGCAGCCAAGTCAGCAAGCGAGAGGCCTCTGAGATTCTGGCTTCCAGGTCGGTGATGCTGCTGGGGAATCTGAGGGGGGACCCGGCCCCTCTCCTTTGGGTTCTGTTGGTTAAAAATGCAACAGCATGCATTCACAGCACTTCAGTCATTTGAAAAACAAAACCTCCCCCAACTCTCCCCTGCCCAACTGTAGGAAAGAAGAAACTCATTAAGCATTTATTTCTGGGTTTCTGCAGTGCTATTAAAGTTCAGTCAAATGGAAAACCTAACAGCCAGCCCCCAATTGTTAGGATGATCTCAAGAGACCCTGAACTGGATACTGCAAGTTGACATAAACTGAAATGAGCTGGACTTAAGCTGTTGGCTCAATCTCTCCACACCAACAGTCACTGCTTTGTTCCACCTGGAGTGGTCCCATGCCACCCCCTCGATGAGAGCTCCGGGCAGCAGCAGGGTGGTGGTTTTTTGGGAAGCTACTGGTTTTGCCATTTGCTTCCAGAATCACATAGACTATAACAAACTTTACATTAAACACTGTTTAGTCCTGAGTTGGGTGAAAGCCCGTGGAGGAGGGGCCGAGTTCCTTAGGACTCTTCCCTCCTTGGCGTGGTGTCATACATGGCCTTCGGCTTTCTCCTCTTCCATCGACTGACTTGCCGTTTCTTTTTCATTGGTGACCCCTTCTAAAGTCTTCTTGCCCATTGCTTTACTGGCCTCTTCCTGAGGAAGAAGTAAATCAAGAGGATTAGAGGAAAAAAGAAATGAAATGTCCAATTACTTCCTGGCTCCTCCAGACTGTCAGGTCGAACACAAGAGGGCATTACCGTGACTTTATTTAGATTGTGCAGCTGTGTGTCATGGCTCTGCTGCCATAGTTAGAGTGAGGGCTTTCACTTTTCTTTCGTTAAAGTGACCAGCTTGCCACAGGGACAGCTGTTTAACAGTCAAGTCCACATGACAAGGGGGTTTGAGCGGACGGTCAGCGCAGGACCAGAATACAACTTTGCTGCAGGGGAGGCTGACTGCTCCTATCCCATTCGCTAGGTTGGCTCCTGAGCCTTAAAGTAAAGGGCATGATGGCGGGGCTTCCCCATCAGAGCCCATTTCCCAGGAAAATCGAAGTCTCAACAAGCAAGTGTTTTTTTAAAAAAAATAGTAAAAGCCTTAGTACATTTCTAGGGAATTAATTTCCCTCTTCTCTTGCATGCACATGCCAGGGCCTCACAACTATGTGCCTTTGGGGAACTGAATAGTGGAACAGCTCTACTCTATTTCTGGATGCAAACCAGCCTCAATCAGATCTGAAATCATTTTCCCTATTCTTGTGCCTCTTAGGTTGTCTTCCTGTGCTCGTGTCCTATGCTGAACCTTCTTAGAACAAAAGTCAAAGGGGCAAGGTCAGTCAGTTCATGATCTACCTGAAGGCAAGTGGGTTCTGCACATACCTTTGCATCCTGCTCTGCAAACTTCTTGAACATGTTGGCGTATATCCTGCGGTCCCGCTCATTGTGCTCCTTAGCCTTTTTCTGGCACATGGAGATCTGCAGTCTTGCGGCCTTATTCTGGGGGTTTACTTCCAGCACTTTCTCAAAGTCGCCCTTGGCTGACTCAAACTCATTCATGAGCAGCTGGGCTTCACCCCTCCTGTACAAGCCCTTCTCATTGGCACTGTCCAGTCCAAGGGCCTAGGGACAGATGGTCTATGTTTTAGAAAGGATGCATGTACCTTGTGGGATTTGGAGAGAAAGGTCTCTGGACAAGGGAACTGGAAAAGGCATATTGAAAAGATCAGGCTCAAGGTAGTTATATACTACTGATCAAAATATCCAAATTAATTTCTATATTTAATGCAATTTCTATAAAGGTTCCCAGGGGACTTGGGAGGAGGACTTTCGAAAAGTTCATATAAAGTCCAATGGAAGAAGTAAATGACCAAGAATGGCAGAGAAAATTCTGGAAAAACAAAAATAATGAGGGGACTTGACCCACCAGAGAAAAAGATATACTATTCAACTACTGAAACTATTAAAACTACTATTAAAACAGTGGTAAGTACTCCACAGACAAAGAGGTCAGTGGAAGAGAACAAGGCATTCAGAAACAGACTCATGTGTATGTATACAAAAAGATTTAATAATCACAAAGATGGTAATGTAAATCGTGTAGGGAAAGGATTAACTTTGCAATAAATGGGGCCAAGACAGTCACTATCCATGTAGAAAATAAGTTAGATTCTTACCTCGTATCATAAACACACAAATAAATTCTAGACCAACTAGATGCAAAAGACCCCCCATAAAATATAATACGGTTATTTATTTATTTATTTTTAAGTAAACCTAGTTGGAGTAGGTTTTTTTTTTTTTTTTTTTTGGTGATACGCGGGCCTCTCACTGTTGTGGCCTCTCCCGTTGCGGAGCACAGGCTCCAGACGCGCAGGCTCAGCGGCCATGGCTCATGGGCCCAGCCGCTCCGCGGCATGTGGGATCTTCCCAGACTGGGGCACGAACCCGTGTCCCCTGCATCGGCAAGCGGACTCTCAACCACTGCACCACCAGGGAAGCCCTGGAGTGCGTTTTTAAAGTACTGAACCGGGTTATTTTTATTATTGTAGGATGGGGAAGACTTTTCTAAAAAGACAGATTTTACTATGAAATATTAAAACTTTCTTTTAAGAAGAAGATACCATCATCAAAGACAAACAAGTGAGAACAAGGTCCCTACTGTCAGACAAAGGGTTAACAGTGATAATGTGAGGCTACCTCAATCAATAAAAAACAAATAAGCTGGTGGAAAGATGTGAACAAGTAATTCACAGAAGAAACACAAATGGCTAACAAGTCATGAAAAGATGTGCAACTTCACTGGTATCCAAGAAATAAAAATAAGAATTTTTTGTTACCAATACTACTGAGAAAAGAAACCACTGATAATATTCAATAATATATGAAGTATTAAAATTTAAATATATTAAAGTAACATCTTTTGACCCAGTATTTCCACTCCTAGGAATTTTATCCTAGAGAAATAATTCCACACATATGCAGAGAAACACTACATAATTTATAATATCAAAAACCTGGAAATCTACCAAAACGGATTGGTTAAATAAATTATGATAGATGCATACAATTGATACTACATAGACTTTAAAAAGAATGAAGAAGAGTTATATGATGAACTGATAGATGCAGAAAGATATCCTTGTTTTATACATCTATACATTCTCATTAAAAAATATACATGTTACTATGTATGGAAAAACAAAAGGAAGGTGTGTGGGAAATGAATGATTGTGGTCTTGGGAGAGGGTCAATGGGAATTTTATGAATGGACTCAGTTTCTTGTATGTTTCTGTAATGTCTGAATTTTGAATGACTTTATACTGCTTCTATAATAAAGAAACACAAAGTTTAAAAATGTAATTAATAATAACATTCTTTTCTCAGGCAAAAATTTAGTATAACATGATAGGGAACACGCCCACAAAACTCAGAATCTTAAATCTCAAAAATAATCTTACAAAGAAGGTATGAAATAGTTGCGTGTTATTCCTCTTTCCTTTGTCTATCTTTAAGATATAGCCAGTTACTAGCTTTTTCCCATAGTATAATATACACTGCTCACTCTGAGACCAAATACCTAACACAATAGCAACAGCTGGTGTAGAAAAGAACAGAATCGTACACATGACACTGTTACTGGTCTTTCAGTACTTAGGTGCTGCTTATTAACATGTTAACGATAGCGACGTAATAAGGGATGCTGATGCTTTGTGGGTCTTGCAAATTATTTATGTATATTCCTAGTCAGTGAATAAATATGATTATAATAAAAAGTGACTTGTATATATCCCTGCATGAGCAGCCACAGTCTGTTCTTAAAATCCTAAAAGGCTTCACTTAAATGTTCTTATTAAATTGTGTAATCTGGTACCAAATACCATCGACTTAAGGTCATGGATAAAAATTGCTTAATTTTATCAAAACTTTTACTCATAATGTATTATTATAAATAGTCTAGGCATTAGGAAAGTATGACTGTAGTAAAAAAAAAAAAATCTTTCTGAATTTCCCAATTCTTACTGAGAAACAAATAATCCCAAACAAAACAAAGCAAAATGAAAAATCCAAAGCTTGGCTGAGAGGAAGCAGAAGACGACCGAGTACGAGGATGGAGAAAAAAGATCCGGACTATCTAACATTCATCCCACACGAAGACACTTTACCTTGTCACAGCATTCCACGGCTTTGGTGTATTCTCTAAGCTTCAGGTAGCACATGGCCAGGTTCAGGAAGGCAGCGAGCAGAAATGATTCAGAAGCTTTCGATTCCTTTTCTGATAAGCCATATTCCATCTCTAACCAGGACACTATCTTCCCATACTGAATCACCGCCTGCATGTACTTGCCTCCCTAACAGAGAAAAGCCAGCAATTACTTGCTGTACAGGCTCTGGAGCGGGTACAAAGGATGTGTAAGTTCAGCCCTCCCTGAGAAAAGCAAATCTGCAAAAGGAGACAACCACCTCGTACCAACCAAGGTATCTGATCATTTCCTTCTGTTCTCAGGAGGTGGCTCTGCAGGCAGCTTTCCCCCTTCCTTCTCAAGTTCCAGTGACCTCTGAGCTGGTGCAGGGCCCGGCACCGTAATGCTCTTGTCCAGCACTTACCATCTCACCCTTTTCAGAGGGGGCAGTTCTTTCAGCAGGTGGGCATCAAGGCTTTTGGGTTACATTCTTTGGTGCTAAAATTTACCAGACTTTCAAAGGGCTAGTGAGTAGCTGTAGACTATCTCACTAGTTTACTTGAACGGAAGTTACTTTTCCCTTTTCTCCTCCTGACGATCAGCACTGCACAGCACACACTATATTTTGGCAAGTGCTAGTCCCAAACCCAGCAAATCTTATTTAAACCAGGGGTTGGCAAACGTTTCCTGTAAAGGGGCAGATAATATTTTAGGCTTTGCAGACCAAACAGTCTCTGTTGCAACTCTGTCCTTGGTAGTACAAAAGCAGCTACAGACAATATATAAATAAAGGGGCGTGGCTGCGTCCCAGTAGACCCTTACCTACAAAATCAGGCTGTGGTCTGCTAACCTCTGATCTATAGACAATGGGAATATACATAGTGGAAGAGCAGCCATCCAACATAAATAACTATAAAACATAAATCACACAGGTGTTAGTCACCTAACTACATGAGAAAGCTCTTTCTCTTAACCATATTTTTGCTCTCTTACCCGATTAGAATTCTAAAAATTGTGAATAAAAATTGTGTAATTAATTCACATGAATTATATCTGCTCTATACAAGAAATAATGGGCTGAAACAATGTGTTTACTGCCATTTTAGGATGAATGAGAGGAGTGATAGCTGGTAAGTACACAAATAAGATGGGGGTACAGGTGAGGGGTCTCCTCTGCAGGAGGTGACCATAAGCTCAAAAACATGACACATCCCGCCAGATGGCAGAATTGCAGCCAGATCTCTCAGGACATTCCATTCAATGTCTGACCAATGAACAGTGTTGAGATCATGTCACTAGAATTTACCACAGTCAAAGCAGGGCACACACATCAGTGTAGAGTTATGTCTCCCCATGCACTCCAAACGTCACCCAATGACTAAGAAGAGAAAAATCACAGACCAAGTCTACAAGAATGTTCCCGTTATAAAGGAGTTCAGGTGGCTGGCATAAAAATGAGCTGCATCTGTAGAAAGGAAGCCCCGATGTCGATTTTTGGTGATAAGGATGGGGTAGACCAGTTCCAAGGAGAGGGCCTGGGTCTGAAAGTACAGATCTTCCTCAGATTACAATGGGGTTACCTCCCAACACACCCCGGGTGAGCTGAAATGCATTTACTACCCCTCACCTACTAAACAGTATAACTTAGCCTGGCCTACCTTAAGTGTGATCAGAACACTGGCATTAGCCTACAGTCGGGCAAAATCATCTAACACAAAGCCTGTTTTATAATAAAGTGTTGAATATCTCATGTAATTTACTGAATACTGTCCTGAAAGTGAGAAACAGAATGGTGGTGTGGGTCCGGAATGGCTGTGTCGGTTATTTGCCTCCGTGGCTGCAGGGCCGGGAGCTGTGCTCACTGCTGCTGATTATATCGCCAGCCCAGGAAAAGTCAAACCCCAAATTCAAAGTGTGGTTTCTACTGAATGTGTATTGCTTTCACACCACTGTAAGTCGGGGGTTGTCTGTACTTATAGTTTGTCTTAGCCTTAGGCCCACTACTCAAGATTAAAGTCCTCACCAGTTTCAGGGTTGGGCATTTTCTGTCATTGTCTTTTCTCTTGCTGAACTGTGAGCTCTCTGGGACAGGAAGCATGTCCTATCCCTTTTGGAATATCCAGGGTTTAACATAAGGAGGCCCTTAATGAAGGTGTGCTAAGTAAACATTAAGGTCAAAGGAATGTAACTATGGAATCAAAAGTTTTTCAATCATTGGGAGCAAAATGGAGGCGTAGGTGAAAATAAAAGGTGTCACTTCATTTAGATTAGGTAAGGACAGGCATTTTCCCTGTTATGCCTAGTTTCTTCTTCCTCTCTCTCCTCCTCCATCTTTAGTGTTCCAATTACCTTTCTGACTAATATATTGTCATAGAGAAAGAAGAGTCAGGGAGGACAAAGATCCAGACCCTATCACTTCAGTAGGTTCTGACTATCAGAATGGTAGAGGCTATGGTTTCTAAAAAAAAAACAAACCCCAAAGTATTAGACTTCATAATACATAAATGTTCCTTACCTTTATAGAGCACTCTAATTTTTTGATAGCCTTTTCTTATATAGTATATATAATTTTACTTATATCTCAACTTCTAATGAACAAAGACCTCTGTGTTATTTCTGCTTCTGATGTACTAAAACAGGAGTTCTCAACTAGGGTGATTCTGCCCCCAGGGGACATCTGGCAATGTTTAGAGACGTTTTTTGTTGTCACAACTGGAGAATATGTGTGTACTACCGGCATCTAGTGGGTAGGGGCCAGGGATGCTGCTAAATGCACAGAACAGCCTCCTGCCAAACAGAATTTATACAGCCCCAAATGTTGACTGTGCTGAGGTTGAGAAATCCTGCTCTAAAAGAGTGAAGGAACAAGAAAGAGGGGCAGGTTTTTAGTTTTTTAAACCTAAAATCCTAGAGTCATAGATGACTTGTTTCTAAATCATAGCACTGGTTTCCTGGTTCAGTAATGGTGGTCAAAACATAGCAAAGCCTGGTTTGTCTGCAAAGGGTTCCATGGTTGAAGGACGATCCTTAACTAGCTTGCTTTAGAAATGCTTTTTTCCCCAAGGAGCACAAGGGGGCGCAAGAACCTCTTGGTTAGAAAGTGTCCTAGGCCTTACCACTCTGCCTCCAAGTCAGAAAAGAGAAACACGTGTGATAGTTAATGCTCTTGTCCCGCAGAATGCTGTCAGCTATGAGGGCAAAAATCATGTCTGTTTAACTGACTTGCACAATGCCTGGCATAACGTCACATTGTTAAATGTGCTTAATAATTATTTTCAGAGCCAAATGAAGAGAGTCCTCTCCTACCTTTCTTCTCTTTAGCGTTCAGAGGTTGATAGGAGTTTACACTCTAAACGCCAAAATCACTCCCATTTAAAGGCTTATTACAATTCTACCCTGCTACGGGGAGAGACCTACCCACTTACGTGTAAACCAAACCGAGAGGTCAATGAAAATGGAGCTCCAATGTGCGGGTGGCATGCAATGTACCCCACCTCTGCTCTGGCCCACACACCCGGGCTCTGCGCTGTGCACAAGGCGCCAAGTCAAACACCCTGGAAACTCTATGGGCCGGGAAGGCAGCATGGCAGATTGAAACCTGCCCTGACATTTGAAAAGGGAATGTGTGTAGGAACCCACCTACCAACCATTTCTGAAGTCTTACAGGTAAAACTAGGATCACTGCTGGGATCTTTTACCTATAATGATGAAGGTGCCTCCAGGGAAGTTCTGAGTAGTACAAAATGTTCAGAGACATTCTGGGGGAAAGGTCTTAGGTCAGTGGTTTTGAACCTTTCATTAATTTTCCCCCAATAAACTAATGTTTTGAAAGATTTTGTCTATCAAATTGCATGTTAAAAATAATATGTTCCATATGTGTGACTGCTGATCCAGATTTTATCCAAAGATCAGTAATTTTAAGAGGGTTCATAGTATTATGAAATACACAAATCACCGTTGCAGTTATGATGCTAAGAAGCAACAAAGTTTAGTAACTGTACAGACAATTTAACACTGCTTTCTGTTGCTGATCGTAAATTCTGGCCATCTCTCTGTATATATTCAGGACACAGCTATATGACACGTGGCTTCACAACATTATTTAAGTCATCAGCAACCAATTGGAGCTTCTGAATAGCCAAGCTGTTTTATTACATCGAGTTAATTCTAGTCAAATGCCAAAAGTTGCAACCCCTCTACCAAATGTTAATATTCTTTTCAGAGGTTTTGGGAAATATAAAAAATACACTTAAAGACTTTTATGGGCTCCAAGTAGATAGGAAAACATAGTTCAGGACCTATGGTCTTAAGTAATTTTACAGAAAATTTTCTTTTTGTTCTAGTGTATTAGGTGTTTGGGTCTACAAATAACTCATCTGGAATCTACCTATTCATAGTTACAGAGGTATCCAATACCTCAATTAGAATTTAAAAAAATCAAAGTTGTTCTTGAGAGTTCAGAAACGCACCGAATTTTAGGGCTGGAAGGAAACTTAGGAGTCTTCTAATTTAACTCCCTCACTTTTCACATGAAAAATTAATCTCTTTGGACCTTAAATGACTTTAAATCATTTGGAGCCATAAAGCCCAGTTTTCCCAATTCAGAGGTCATTCTGCCATATCCTAATGCTTTCTGGTGATCCATACATTATTTTAATATATGTAATAGTTATAAATAAATAGAAATAATTATATATTATCTACACTCACAGTAAGAAATGTTTTAAATTATGACCTAGTACCCACTCACACACAACTGAACAAAGTTTTGTGAAACAGAGTGTATCCTTACTACATAAGGCACTTCCACTAAACTGATTTCATGACTCAATAATGGGGCTCCTCTCAAAGTTTAGAAAATAATAACCATACCTGTTGCCCTCTGGCTGCGTGATTCTATGTTGGTTATACAGTCTTACATAATTCTCTAGTTGTTTCATGTGGGTTAATATTGCCTCCCCTCCCTCCAGACAAGGCTGTCAATGCAAGGACACGTCTTACAGCAGGTTCTCCATGAAGACTTGCTGAAGTACACTGATGTATCATTGCTTTATAGACTGTTGAAAACATCACCTAATTGTTTTTTTTGCTCCTGGATCACAGCAGCAAGGAAAAAAAAGAAACCTTGACAAAACTCCCATTCTTTCTCTCATTCTCTTCTGCACTAAGCCCTTTCTGCTTGATGTGGAGAAGGTATAATATTTGGCAATGGGGAAGCAATGGATAGTACATTCTGATTAGAACTGAACAAAGCGCTGTTTCTTTTTTTTTTTTTTTTTTTACTGTATCTGGGGTTTAAAATCTAAGTGAGGAAACAACACATTCCTACATTATAAGAAAGTGTTTTCAGGAATCAATAAATGACAAATATCATTCAGGAATTTCTGCTTTTTTCTCACAAAAGCAAGTGTGGCAGGGATCATCTTGGCCATTAGAAGAAATTTATACCCTCCTCCTGCCAGTTCATTTTGAAATCTGTGCATAATCTTTCCTTTTATCATGTACCTAAGTGACTTCCCCAAGACAGTGGAAAGGAAAATGATATGAAACTTAGCCCTTTGAATTCTACTACTTGCTAACAATTATTCTATTCATTCTTTGTTTCGTCCCACAAACACTTGTTGAGTGACCACTATGTACCAAGCAAGATACTTTAGGTCTTGAGTGATACACAGTGGGTGGGCAAGCCGGACCTGGTCTGACTTTGCGGAGGCTTACAATCTAGAGTAGAATGTGTACAAGAGGCTTTTGTATTCTTTTTGTCACATAATTCATTCTGTCTCACCATTTCTTGTACTGAAAATGACAGACTTGTAAAAATTCAGGCTTATTCTTATCCAGAAGGGTATAGAATTCAGAATAGGGAATATCAGCACAATTAATTGATACTTGAATAAATTCTTTGAGATGAAAAGGATTGTACAAAGACTCACATACCTTGAAGTACACAGTTCCCTTCTCTTTGACAATGGCAGCCTGCTCCAATTTTTCTTTGGTATCCATCTCCCAGGATTCTTTGGCCTGTTGTGTAAATGTGTGACAATGGTTAGATGAACAGAGAAGGAAGAAGCATCAGCTGATGTCCGTAAGAAGAAACAAAAGCTACTCCTAGAGGATACCCACACCCCAAAACACACTGGCTTTTAAAACTGTGTGCCCTTGCCAATGCACTGCTAGGCTAGAACTCACTTTCCATGAGGACAAAGCTGTAGCTTGATCCATGCTGCTCAAGAGGGAGGTGCAGGCAATAATACCGTAAGGAAGATGAACTGTTGAGCATCGTTAAAGAATGCGCCTTTAGAATTACGAGGTGAGGCCACACGATGGAAGCTGGGGCCCCTATCTCCCTCCTGCAAACTCTGCCGCTAAACTGCTATTATAATTTAGGCAAGTTTCTCTCAAGCCTCAGTTTTTCAACTCTAAGATGGTAACACTATTGTAGTCAAGTCACAGTTGTATATTCATACACGCTTTAAAAATTCCAGGTCATGTAGTTTGTCTCTCCACTCTGAAACAACCAGACATACTAAAGCCTCCAAACTGTAGCAACTTGCAGATGCGTACTTGGGGAATTTCAAGGAAAACGTAAGTGGGAGGGTAGAGGTGATGCCAAGATGTAAACAAACGCTTTCATGATCACCTGCTAATTTATACTGTGTGTATCATTACTCCTCCCCCATTATAGATACGAATCCAGGGACAACTGCACTTTCATTATGAACAGCTGGATCATCAAGAGTCAACAGAACAATCTGCAGTCCTTTAGGGAAGATGACAATGGCTGTGTCAGTGCTATTTACTGCATAAGAATTATGAAGCTTAAGTGGGTAAATATGAAATTCTCTATTCAAAAGACAGTGGTATATATATCCCCTCCTTTTTAAAGTGAATAATGAGAGTTACTAGTCTTCCTGGCAACCCTATGTTGATTCTTAACAATTTAACTTTATTATTTAAAAATCTAATAACAAGCATTCTGCATTTTTTATATGAGGTTCAGTCTTTATTGATTATAAATCTATTCTTAGTATTACAAAACAGAAAATGAATTCATGTTGCCTCCATCACTGCCACACACTGTCACATGGTTTCAAATATAATCTCATAGCACTGTGGTCAGAAAAGATGCTCGATATGATTTCAATTTTCTTAAATTTACTGAGGCTTGCTTTGTGACCCAGCATGTGATCTATCCTGGAGAATGTTCCATGTGCACTTTTGAAAAGAATGTGTATTCTGCTGCTTTTGGATGGATTACTCTGTAAGTATCAATTAAGTCCATCTGGTCTACAGTGTCATTTAAGGCATGTGTTGCCTTACTGATTTTCTGTCTGGATGATCAGTCCATTGATCTAAGTGGGGTGTTAAAATCCCCCACTATTATTGTGTTACTGTCAATTTCTCCTTTTATGTCTGTTAACATCTGTCTTATATACTGAGGTGCTCCTATGCTGGATGCATATATATTTGCAATTCTTGTATCTTCTTCTTGGATTGATCACGTGGTTTCAAATACACCTAGCAGTGCAGCCTGGCCTATGCCCTTGCAGCCGTGACTGAGCACAGGCTCGCTGTGGTGTACTACAGTGAGGAGGCTCCTGAGTGTACAAGGTCCACTGGGCTGTGATGGGAAGGGGTGGGGGTTACTTTATTGCTAAAAATTATTTTCTCCCTCTTTAAAAATAAAAACCACTTTGTGCTATGAAGACAGCTTTGGAGGATCAGTACTGAGCTAGCAGGACTTCAGAAGACGTTACCTGACAACAAGCAATGGTTGTGACAAGAGCATACGTTTGTTTTGGGGAATGTGTTATGATTAGGAACATCACTGTTTGGGGAGGATCCCAAAGTTAGAGGCCTACAGGACAATGATTTCCTTTCTGAGTCTAATAACATAAAAACAGTCACGTTTCCAGTCCAAAGCTTGAAGTATGGAACATAGAGATAGCACTGTGGGGATGAAAAAGGTCTACAAGATGCAGTTCCTGAGGCTCTCGGGGAAGGGCTGGGCTCTGGTGGTGCAGAGGACGTAGCTGGATGGGACAGCGTACCTAGCTCAGGCACATGCTCTGCGTTTGTCCAAGGAAGCTGCTGCTGGGAGCCTCCAGAGGCGGGTTTGAGATGGAAATACACTCAAGGAGGCGTGCCATTTCTGGAACCTGAGGCAAACGCTCTCTTTTTTTCTACTTGGACAGGTACAAAAAGAAAAAGTCTAGGGTTAGCAGGTTTGTTCCTTGTGTTCCTTGCCACCGAGCCTGGTGGCCCATGAAGCCCCTGCATTTTGGATAATAACTTGGAGCCACAGTGAAGGCCTCTTCACGAGTCCTGTGAAGGCTATGATCCATCCAGCCCTGGAAAACTGCACCCCACTCCCCCAAGGAGATGCTTGGCAAGAACATGAACCTTTTTGTCTTCAACCCAGGAAAAAAAGTACAAAAAGAACAAGTCTAGGAACAAATAAGGGAACAAGTCTTGGCTTCTACCCAAAAAAGTTAATAAAAAAAAAAAAAGGCTGACACATAGGAACAAAATAAGAACACTGAGCTCCTTGGTTGTGTATCAGCTGTGCTGTATCAGTTGTCCTGTGCTCTAGTAGCAGCGTCAGAGACAGGAGACAAACTTGGTCATGAAAAGCACAATATACAAACAAATACCATCTATCTATACCACCTGGTAATATAAGACACTAATTTACAAGAAGTGGATGGAGAAGAAATCTGTCATGATTTCAGAGAAGTTGGTATTTTCTCACCTTTTCGAAGCTCTTAAGTGTAACTTCATATATAAGCTCAGCATTAGGTTCAATGCCAAATGCAGGCTTCCCTGCCTCTCCAAAACCATATCTGAAATGGAGAGTAAAAAAAATAAAACTTTAAAGAATTGGTGTATTTCCAGGCACCCCCTTCAGTATTTTGAGGCATAGAGCTATCATTTGCAAACTACACACATCAAAGGCCCTGAAGACAAACCAGATGTTGATCAGAAGATATAGTGCCAAGTATCACTGCTGTGGTTTTTTTAAGAAACCAGGCTACATTTAGTTTTCTTCTTCATATTCATATGTAATGCAACACCTGTACTCCTTGGGACAGCTTGCTTAATGTGATTTTAAATGTCACTGTCTCTTTTTCTGCTTGATTTTATCTCTAGTTCTTTCTATAAAACAGCCATTATTTGACTATAAGGGCTTTTCCTGAAGCTCTATCAGGACCCAGAGAAGACAGGCACTGTAATCATTACAGTGCTGATTTGGGAGAGGTATGTTTTAATAAGCTTTTAACTTTAAAGTGCTGTCCCCTTCCAAAAGTACCACTTCCATTCAGATAAATGGGGGGAAGGTGCACACATCAGGAAGGATATACGTCCTCATAGTATTTCTTCAAGACTTGCAGAAAGCATACTAGAAAACAAATGTATAATCAAAAAGAACAGCCCCAGCAAACTCTAATACATCATCAAGAGAAATACTCTGTACTGTATTCTCATAGCTCTCTGGCTATAACACTGTAAAACACTACACTTTTTAGCCAAAACTTACTGAATAAAATTACGGGGATATATAAATTTGTTTTTTGGGATCATTTAAAATTTTAACACATCCAAGGCATTTGAAGGAGCACACATCTACTAGAATGGAAATTCTGATGGAGCTTTGTCTGTCTGGTTCAGTGGTTTCCCAGCATGTAGAACAATGCCCAGCGTATTAGGAAAACGTTCACTGGAATATACTCTGCTCCATCTGTTTCAAGCAAACTACTCTTTAATATATGGAATGGCACTGCAAAAATCTTAGTAAACTCAAACTCTCAGGCTATGGTTTGAAACCAGGCCAAAACCAAGTTGATGTATTAATACCTTCAGTTTTCTCTGGGGCAAAAGGACTAGAGTAGGAACACTCACCTCTTGCTATTTGTACCACTTCTTTACTCCCTGCCCGAATTTTTCAGGAAGAAAATGCTTACTCATTTACCTCCCCTGTTACACAAGAAAATGGAAGCTGGAGGCAGAGAGAGGCATAGAGATGGAGTGAGAGCTGGTAGAAATGGGGTGTGGTAGTTTTAATATCAGGGCAAAGGGTATCTTCAGCAAAGAAATAAAAGAGGACATAATTACCAGTGGCCAACTGTAGGAAGTGGTGACTAGTTTTCTACTTTGAGCTCTTAGACCGATATATCTCCTATTTTGTTTCTGCCATCTGGTAAATAAAAGAACATTCCTTAACTGATGGGAATCAGGTAGGCAGGTGAGTCCTCACTGAGCATGTGTTTACTGACAGTATGTTCTATTTGGAGCCCTGTGCTAAACAGGTACAAACCCAACAGATGCTCTTGCCTTAGACCAGTGGCTCTCAAAAGGGGTTAATCCCCCATCCCTATCAGGGACATCTAGCAATGTCTAGAGATTTGGGGTTTGTCACAACTAGGAGGCTTCTGACTTCTAGTGGGTAGAGGTCAGGGACACTACCAAACATCTTACAGTGCACAGGACAGCTCCCCCGGCCAAGAAATATTTGGCCCCAAACGTCAATAGTGCCGAGGATGCGAACAGCTGCCTTACAACGCGGGGGGGCGAGAAGGGTGAGGGTTTGGGTCGAGGGCAGGCACCAAATTGTTCTGGTTATCATCAACGGGATTAAAGAAGACTAAGGAAGGATACGATTTCTACAGTCTTTCCTGGGTTCAAACGAAGAAACTGTGAAGACACATGTGGAAAACATAATCCCGGGGAGGCGTAAGCTCATACTGAACTGTTTTGGGAGCATTTAACCTGACTTCCTATTTTACAGAAAGTTGTCTGATTTATGCTGGATTAGGCTGGGCGAGGAAGGACCCAGGGCACACAAATTCATCTGACTGAAAGACAGAACACCACAAGAGGAATTCTAGGCTTAACCAAAAGACAAGCTGGATTACAGTAACAGAAGGAATCCAGTATCAATGTTCTTAAACTGACAGGTGCCTGCAGAGTGCAGAGATACAAATAATGACTGCTAATGACCATTAAGCCTTTATGTGCATACAAGAAGCACTTGCACCTTGTATGCAACTGCTCTTACCAACTGCTTCCTTTTTACAGATTAAGAAACTGAGGCTCAGAGAGAAGTGCTTCCTGAGAATCACACAAAGAGGCAGTGGTAGAGCCAGGATTTAAATTCAGACTGTGTGTCCCAGAAAGTTGTTTAGTTTTTGACCCACACTGCCGCATAACTGAGATACTCTGGCTCTTGGCAGCCTATGTTTTTGTTTGGGGCTGGTGCAGGACAGAAGATAAGGAAGAAAAAAGAAAAAAGCTAAAACTAGCCATACTTTACCTGGAACAAAAGAGCTTAATCAGTCACCATATTTAAAACAATATTAAAGACACTGTCCTGATGAGAAGAGAGAAAATGGCTTCTCTGGAAGTGTTTTATGAATTCCTTACTATGAAAACATCCTGCCAAGGAGTCTATCAGAATGAAAGGGAAGGTATATGCCCTGGGGTTTTTGGAGCATGAAATACAGATGACACTAAGAGTAACACAGAACACATATTTGCAACAGCCATATTTACAGCCACACTCAGATGCAATGTATCTATAAGTGGGACTCTGGTAAGACAAGCAAATTCACTGCACACGCTCACTGCATGCCCGGTGGGCAGGGATTCTCTATATACACGGATAATCTTACGCAGCACCCGCGTGGACAGTCTCCTGGTGTAGACTCTGCACTTTAAATGACTCCTCAACATACTAAGCAACATCTTGAAGAGAAAAGAACATGTTCCTTTCTAACTATGCTAAATTATTTCCATAAAACATATGAAAAAACTTTTATATCTAGTAAGTTATGAAAACTTGTTGACAACTTTTATGCCTGAAAAATCTACCATATGTTAAAACGGGGTTTCCCTTTCCTTATGGTCTGAGAGTAAAATGGAAGAGAGAGATAATCATCACAACAGCAATAATAGCTAACATACTATGGGTTTGGCTGTGTCAGGCACTTTGCTACACTCTTTACATGCATTATCTCATTCAGTCCTCCACAACTTTGTATGGTAGATACCATTATCCCCATTTTACATAAAGGGAAACTAAGGCTTAGGAGAGTCGAGTACACAGCTGGTAAGCTGCATGTTTTTTTTTTTTTTAATCACTAATCATATAACAAGTTAAACTTGCAAGGAACTATTTGCATTAATAAATATAAGGATAATTCCTGTTTCCCTTTGCCATTAAACTTGAGACATCTGTTCCCACAACTGGCTTGTCAGCTAGGTTAAAATGTAATGAACCAATTCATATTATATGCTCACAATGTATAGAGAACTCATCTTCAAGGAACTTAGATCTGAAAACACATGGACATAAATACCACTCTGTTTATATGAGTTTAGAACTACTGTAACTTTGGAATGCTGGATTAAAAATAGTTAGATATTACTTGGATATGGAAGAGATAGCCTCTCTATGCACCACCTGAATTAAAAAGTTCCTTATAGAAACAGATTCACCTAAGTGAACTACAAATACATAGTAAATGTAAATAAAACACACTAAGGTGGGAATATACTAGTTGAAAAAGGAATAAGACCGAGAAAAAGAAGGTATTAAATAAATGGTGCCTCAGTGAAAGCTCTAAAGCGTTCGAGGTGTAGAGCATTTTGCAAGGATTTTCAAGTGGGTAGTGGCATGACTAAAACATCACTTAAGAAATACGATTATGGCTCAAGTGTTAGGGCAAAGGTAAATATGCCACTGGATTACGACCGAGGCTACACAAATTCAAGCAACTGTACAAAAGGCGCACAATATTACCTATTGGTAAGTGCAGGTCATCAAGATTCTCAATAACTCAAAATCCTACTGACTGAAATCCAAGGATCCAGAGAGGGATGAGACATGAGATAAGCAGATGCACGTTCACACAAACAGAATCAAAACACCCTGGTTTCTCTCAAGGGTCCGTTTCTCAAGATAGAAGGGTTGGATTCATGGTATAATTTTAGATCTAAAAATAATACCAAACATGTTTTCACCAGAGAGACAGTTAGTGTCTGATAGTTCTAAGCTTGGTAGTGCTAATGGATATCCTTATGATGGGAAAAATTTAGGCAAAAATGAGTCATCTCCGCTGCCTTTAGATCCAGGAAGAACACTCTTTTCAGGGAGTCTGTATAAGAACAGGTGGCACAAATTCAAGTGGTAATAAATCATCCAAATGCTTCTTCAACTTCTAACCCCCACGTTTTACTGCCTCCTGCCTAATTTAGAGAAAAGGAGAGAAGGGGCAAGAGAATCACGTGAGAAGGGCCAACAGCTTCCTGTCTTGGCAATATGGCAGGCAAAACAAACAGAAAAGCAAAACTTGCCTGTCAGTCCTACCCTGAACACACATGAATCAAGTGAATAGGCTTACAAATGTCTGTAATATCATAAGGCCCATTAACTCACTCTGTGACTAACTGTAGCCTGATTTAATTAATTGTTTCCACTGTTGGCCTTAACTTCACTGAAAATAGCAAAAGGTTGATTGAAAAAGCAAGTGTATCCCTGTTCTTTAGATAACTTCACTGTGTACTGAACTGGTATGCTGCTTACCGTGGTCCAAGATACAAAATACATTGTTCCTCACGCTGCATTTTCTCCAGGGCTTTGTCAATTCCGATTGGAATGTCGTGGTCTTCTCCTTCGCCAACTATGAACCCCACATCTCTGCAATCAAACATCCTTCCACCACAGCGGCCTTCCAGGTGGACTGAGGGAGAGGAGAAGGACAGTCAACAGAGCTGCTCTTCGTGACTAATTCAGGAACCTGATAAATGAGTAGTTCCCCTTCCTCATTTCATCTAGAGACATACGTGGTATGTCTTGTTGAAGCTTAGTCTACCCAGTCTGGAAATTTAAGAGCAATCATATTTCTTTCTGTTTTAAGTTTAAACTTATAATTACTGATAACTACATCAGTAAGATAGCTTAGAGGATAATGAAGTGGAAACACAGGTTTAACTTAAACCTACTATATGACAGAGGTTTCCTCACCTATAACACAAAACAAGAAATACTAGATTATTTAATAGGTAATTATCAAAATGCCACAAACTTAATATCAAGTATACAAAGGCTTAAACATTTATAACTGCATCTTGGCTTCGGATGCTTGGGTTGAAAAACAACCGAATGGCTATTTCCCCAGTGATATTAAAGGGTTAACTGAATATAGAAGCTCTTTTTTTTTTTCTTTAAGAGTTTTAATCTCATTCACAAATATGTCTGAATAAAAATGAAAAGGCCAAAGGCAACATCATCAATAACTAACATATCTGTAATCCCTTAGTGCAGTAAAAAATGTAAAATGTGAAGGAATCAATAGTCTCCTATAACTCGACAAATCAAATTACTCAACCCCCTCCTCTGAAATGTTAAGTGAAGAGGTCAATTTCTCAGGGCCTACTTCCTCATTGCACTCAAACTCAGCTCATTCCCAGGGTAATTTCACATTAGATAAGGGGCTTTTATGTTCATATAAAATAGGAAAACACATACAGATATATATTTTTCTCTTGGTTAGTTAGACTTTTTCTTCTGGGATAAACAATTCTTTGAAACTTTCCAACTATGTTTAATATTACGGATATTCATTCCTTTCCATTTAGGTCTTTCATTCAATCAGAAAAATGGATGGCTTGTATGACAGCACAACAGTCGACAAGCAATGTAATAATTTGCCTTTCATAAGAAAATTTTTTATTCCTACTTCTGTAATATAATGGCCTTGATTCAAATGTAAGGAATTCCTAAAATGCTTCTTTTCTGAGACTGGTTGATCTATTTTAGATCAATAACTTGCTTTAGAGATAAAAATCACTTGTTCTGTTACATTCGTTCCAGGAGACAATTATTTTCCAAATACAAATTCAATTCCAACTTACTCTACTTTTGAACTACTTGATCTCAAAGGTCCTTTGAAGCTCTAAAATTCTACGATTCTATGGCCCAGTAATATAACTCTCAATGTAGACCAGAAACCAGCTTCAAAGCTAATTCCTGTAGTTAATCATTTCATCAGGTTACCTTTAGCCCAGGCCTAGGAAATGAGAGAAACCCTGAAGAGTAAACAGCAGTGGCATAGACACTAGGGGCAGAAAAGTCACATGGACATTTATGCTTTGAAGTTCTCTACCGTTTTCTAAGTCACTAGGATTAATACCATCCCGATTTGTTCCCGTTGCAGACATAGGGTGGAGTCGAAGACGCTTGGGCCAAACTAGAGAAGGCCTGACTCTCGAGTCAGACCTTCTAAACAGGGGCAAGAGCTAGACTGGCTCTCAGGGTGGAGCTGGCATACAGAAATTTTGTTCTATGTCCCATACTCATAAATGCACATGACTTTCTATTAACTCACTTTTGGAATGTTCTAGATAAAATACAGCTTAGCTTGCAGCACAGTGAAAGTTCTTTTGAATTGGAAATAGTTTCAAAATAAATTCAACTTTATTATTTTCAAATACATACACACTAGAGAGGTTCTGCAAGGAATCCTAGGCTTAAAGATATTTTTTACTGGAGTAAAAGCTGGTGTCTCTAAAGAATTTGAGAGTTTGAAAATTTGTGTTCTTAAATATTTTTAAATCTGCCCAAGAAATTTAATTTAGACTAATGTGATGACACTTTTCATGAGAAAAGATTTGCTGAGCAAAGTGAGTTTCGGCCCACGTATTATAGAATATCTCAAGCATTGAGATTTATTATCCTAGTAGCTCACAACTTAGTTGACAGATCTTTTTGAGTGAGGTTTATTGTTAGAAGTGTTTTCCTCCCTGATGGAGAGTACATTTAGTGGGGGAGGAAACTATCAGTACATTCGTTGTGGTTTTTGGTTGATCAAGTTTGAATGTGTTTTCAAAACAGGAAATCCAGAGACTCTGTGAAGGATTCCTGCCTGTGTGTCAGTTTCCTAGGCTGGTTTTTCAGCTTGATGCATATACTTGATATTAAAATTATATAAATAATTTCAGAAGTTCTCTTTACATGTGATAACCCTTCATATTAGGGAAAGAAAAGACTGGCTACTAATAAACATGTTGGGAAAGATAAGTCAAGCAAGCAAGCAAAAAAAAAAGTTCAAGTCAAAGTATGATTAAGAAAGCAAAAAAAAAATGTTCACTGCAGCCGGTCTCTCTAAGAGAAACAATATATGGTAGAACCAATGTTTTTGGCCACCTAATAGGGAAACATTTGCAATAACTCTTATAAATACTTACTACCTTATATAGGGACCAATCTTTTTTTTCTATTAAATCTCTTTGAAGTTGAACCTGAATAAGCACTACCTACAGTACCACAGAATCTTAAATTGATAAACTGATACGCATGCGTGCGTGCACACATGCAGCAGTCTTTACGTGTATATATAAAACCTTTTAATACTGACATTATCTGGAATGTCAGAGCAAGAGGAGGTATCACAGCCTCAGGGAGTATAGTCCATTGATTCTTTACATCTACAAGTAGCAAACACTCTCGCTAGATTAACTGGTTTCTAAAATTGGAACACTGGTGTGACAAGTTCTATGACAGCTGACAAGAACTCCTCCCCACCTTGGAGCCGATTGCCGCAGCAGGAACCTCCATCATGGTGACAGATGCAGACATGCCTGGCTCCTATAGATCCAATTTTTTTTTAAATTGTCTCGATAATTGCTACCAAAGAAAACCATGGCAGCTCTGGCTGTGGAAGACCTGTGGTTGCTTTTGACCTTGTATCGCTTAGTGCAAAAACTCATTTAATAAATATTTAATAATAACCATCATGACTCACTGGGAGCTTGGCCTCTAGGGCTCAGGAGGTCTGTTGCTAATTCCAACCAGCATGATTTACGGGAAGTAAATGATCTATGACGTGCCCAAAGAGAATAAAAGTACATACAGGATGCTTCTACTTAGGGTTTTTTTGGGAAGAGAAAGAAATACACAAGTTAAAAAGGGACAACGTTTTCTCTTGACTTAAAGTCTACGTAACTTAAAGGGGGGAGGTCCTCCAAACCCCACGAAGTCAAACCGATCCAAATTACCGAGCCTTGCTGCGCAATCCCAGTGTAACCACATCAAGTGAGCCCAGTCTGCTGCAAAACATCACTTAAACTGGAGCTCTGACTTATTGTTCTCTTACTGCCCTAGAGCAATTTTGTTTTGAAGAGCACAGAACACCCTGTTCTGAAAGTGGCTGGCACATGAACTCGATGTGCTGACAGCAATTTGTACTCCGATTAAAATAGGGGGGAAAAGGAAAGAGTGCACTGCAGTAAGGAAAAAAACTGGAATGCAAGAACCCGAAAACTGTATAGTTTGTACTTTAGGAAGCAAAACTGAGAAAGAGGCTCCATAACCCCCCAAAAAAAGTGCTGTAAACGCTCCAGCCTAAAGACGTTAGCTCTGGTAAGTGTCTGTTTTTCCCTTTTCTAATTATAGTAGTTGGTGTCTGATAGCTTTGCACTCATTCCCAGAACAATTACTGGGTCATGGGGATCTGAATGGGAATGTTGTAATGGCATTACGACTAGACAAGACTGGTCATTTAGCCAGAGAAAACCAGGTTGTGACAGGTTACTCCCATTCGGCAAGGGTTTTCTCTGCTGCCTAATTCATGCCAAGGGAGTTTCTCTCTGCCTGCATCTCCTGCCTAACAGAGCAAAGCATCCAAGAGACAGTGGGATCTTAATGACCCCCTGAAAAGGCAAATCCAGAGATGGATTTCTAAAATCAGGAGAGGCATATTAATCACTGATTAGAAGAGAAACTCTTCCCCTCAGTCATGGTGGTCAGATTTCCCCCAAACTGCCTCCTGTCCTCTGTACCATTTTGTACTATGATGAACAAATACCACTGGAATATTGCTCATGGCACTGAGGGGACAGATGCTGAGGGCAGGTGTGGAACCTGGCTACTTGAACAGAGTAACATTTATGCAAATGGTTATATGCCTTAGTCTAAACAGGAAGCATGCACACAGCAATAAATTCTATACCAATACAAATCCTCACCACACTCCTCTTTACACCAGACTGGATTCCAGTCCCATTCTGTCACTTAACAACTGTGGCTTTGGGCAAGGTCATTTCAATTATCTGAAGCTCAGTTTCTTCATCTATAGAACAGGGGAAATAATGTCAGCTAACTCCTAATTGTTGAGAGTATTAAATTAGGTATTGAACTAAAGCTTTTAGCCCAATATCTGGCATGCATTCATTTAATGTCAGGGTGGCTACTATGTGAAAATACTGTGTTATGTGTGGATAGACAGAGATGAACTCAATGAATGTTAGCTATGATTATTTTCCTGCAATTAGTGGTAAATTATACCAGATTAAACATGTTTTAGAACTTGGTATAAGAAACCACTTGATCGCTCCACAGAGAGAGCTGTCAAAGTATGAATAAAATTCAAAGTAGGCAAAGGCAGTATCTTATTTTGTACCTCACAGTGTGTACAACTGTGTGTACAACACACAGTTCAGGGCCAGAAAGTAAATATTTATTTAATGATTAATCTGAAAACAGGGCATTAAGGAAAATGGTAGTAATTTTCACTCATTTATAGGAATTTTCCCTTTTGAATATGTTAGTACTCCTATTTTTAATAAATGCCAAGAGCTATTTAAATTCTTTACTGATATGGAGTTTTGTTTTTTAATACTATTCCAAAATAAATGGTCCACTGGCTTAATTTCTTAATAACAAAAAGATTATTTTCTACTAAGATTTTACTCTACCCGAAGCCTTGAAGATACCTTTTTAGAAGGAGCTATATAAATCCAAAATATATGAAAGAATAAACACTATCCATTTTAGACCCAAGTACCATACTACATTATTTTGTGAAAATATATAATAAAATGGTTTCAAGAATCTGCTCTCTCTTACTGGACAAAATTTGCCAGGACATTCATAAATACTTCAAAAGCATGTGAAAAACAAACAAAACCCAAAAAACCCTCATAGCTCTATCAGATTTCAACATGGTCATACACGAAATCTTTCCTCTGTTTTCAATTTTGGACCATTTTGGTTTTTGGTGTTTTATTTGTAAAGAACACATGGCTAGATTTTGTTGTCATCACTGTGTTAACCTTATAAGAATTTCTGCCTTTAATAGGTGACTTTATCTCATTCATATTTTTTGTAATCACTGACATGATTGATTTTATTCCTACAATCTTATTTTTCACTTCCTACATAATGTTTTATTGTTATTCTTCCTTTATTACTTTTACTAAATTGATCAACCTTTCCTCGTTCCTTTACTTCCCCACTCCATGCAGGGTCGCTTGGAAGTTCTACATCCTATTCTTACTAGTGCCTAACGTTAAATTTTAAACAAATCGTTCAACAGTACGTGTGTACATATATACACACATACACACATACATGTGTATATCTATACACACACACGTACATACACACATACACATATTTATCGATGTGGACTAATCAGCATAGTATCTCCTTGAATAAGAAAACCTTCTTAGACCATTTGCTTCCCCTCTTCATTTCCCATTTGCACCCCATTTTGTTAATTACCGTAGCTCCATACTGTTAAACAATTATTATTTTAACATTATAGTTCTACCATTTCAGAGATCCAAATTCAGCTGTCATGTTATGGAAATTACTTTTATGCTCACTAATGTTTCTTATGCCTTGAGTCTTCACTTCTTGGCTTTGTTTTTTGTGATGTTTTAGAATATCCTATAGTATTTTTTTCAAAAAGAGCACAAGTCTGCATACTCCAAAGTTAATTTGTTCTCATAGTTAAGTGATAACTTGGCTGAGGAAAGAAATTTAGGTTTAAAATATTCAGTTACAGACAATGCTCAAAGCATTGTCTTTTAGTATTTAGTGTCACAAATAAGAAGTCTGATGTCATTCTGATTCTCATTCCTTTGCACATAGCTTATTTCTCCCTGGAAGAGTTCAAAATTTTCTTTTAAGTTATGGAATTAAGAAATTTCACCAGATATATATACAATGGAATATTACTCAGCCATAAAAAAAGGAATGAAATCTTGCCACTTGCAAAAACACAGATGGACTTAGAGGGTATTTATGCTAAGTGAAATAAGTCAGACAAAGACAAATACCCCATGATTTCACTTACATGTAAATCTAAAAAAACAAATGAACAAATAAAACAGAGTTAGATACAGAAACAAATGGGGATGAGAGAGGAGTAGAGGGATGAGTGAAATAGGTGAGGGAGATAAAGAGGTACAAATTTTGTTAGAAAATAAATGTCAGGGGATGTAATGTACAGCATAGGGAATATTGTCAGTAATACTGTAATAACTTTGTAAGGTGACAGATGGTAACTAGACTTATCATGGTGATCATTTTGTTAATGTATAAAAATACTGAATCATTATGTTGTATACCTGAAACTAATGATATTTTAAGTCTATTATACTTCAATAGGAAGGAAGGGAGGGAGGAAGGAAAGGGAAATTTCACCAGGATGTATCTAGGTGAAAAAGCACTCCTTACTCCTGTGTGCCACCATTAACTGGCCCTTTCAATCTTAAGATTCTTCTATCTTGGGGCTTCCCTGGTGGTGTAGTGGTTAGGAATCTGCCTGCCAACGTGCAGGACACTGGTCTGGGAAGATCCCACGTGCCACGGAGCAATAAGCCCATGCACCACAGCTACTGAACCTGTGCTCTACAGCCCGCCAGCCACAACTACTGAGCCTGCATGCCACAACTACTGAAGCCCATGTGCCTAGAGCCGTGCTCCGCAACAAGAGTAGCCACCCCAATCAGAAGCCCACGAACCAAAACGAAGAGTAGTCTCTGCTTGCCGCAACTAGAGAAAGCCCAGGCACAGCAACGAAGACCCAATGCAGCCACAAAAAATGAAAACAAAAAAAACTGTGTGTGAGGTAAATTCTTAAGAAAAAATTCTTCTTTCTCTAGGAAACCTTCTTCCATTACACGTTTGGTTAGATACATATCATCTATCCTTGATTATCCCAGTCTTCTAATTTTTCTTTCACTTTTCATCTCTTTGGTGTTTGTTTTTTTTTTTCCCCTCTGTGTTCTGAGATATTCTTCACTATCTTTTGTATCACTAATTCAAGATTCTGGGACTGTCCATTTTGCTTTTCAACCCTTCCTCAGAGTTCCAATTTTGATAATCATATTCTTAATTTCCAGATACTTTCTTTTTTTCTTTTTTTTTTTGCGGTATGCGGGCCTCTCACTGTTGTGGCCTCTCCCGTTGTGGAGCACAGGCTCCGGACGCGCAGGCTCAGCGGCCATGGCTCACGGGCCTAGCCGCTCCGCGGCACGTGGGATCTTCCCAGACCGGGGCACGAACCCGTGTCCCCTGCATCGGCAGGCGGACTCTCAACCACTGCGCCACCAGGGAAGCCTCCCAGATACTTTCTTATCTTTTCCTTTTTCAGAGAAGCTGATTTTTCTGACTCATGAATTTAATATCCTGTTAAATATCTCTGAAGATACTAATTAGTATTTTGAAAGTTCTCTTCTATTTCTTCTTAGTCCACCTCAGTGCTTCTATTTCATGGTATTTGCTGATGATTCTGTATTGTTTGGTCATGCTTTAAAAGGAAGGATTCAGAAAGATCAAGTGATTTTAGTTACCTGACACAGTTTTTCTAAGCCATTGGATATACTTCCATGGTAGGCCTTTTCGCAAGAGGAGTGGGCTGATCATGCAGATCTCTGGGTGAAGATCCCAAAGATATTTATTGAGCATTTACTACATGCTGAGCATCATGTGCACAGGAAGGCTGGGGACACCTTTTTCCACTGGTGATGTAGGAAAAAGTTTTACTTCAGGAGCAAAACACTTCTGCTTATTTACTGTTGTGCAGAGCTGCTTTCACTTTTTTCCCCTTCAAATCTGTTTTAAAAGCTCAAAGATACTTATGTTCTCATTCTGTAGTCCAAGTCCTAACACACGGAGCCTTCTGAGGCAGATCCCTACTTTACTTTAGAAATTGGGCCTTACTGGTTTTAGCTTGGGAGCAAAAGTCACAGCCAGGCCCTAGAGTAGTAATTCTCGAGTAGTAATTCTCAATCCTTGGCTGCAAACTAGAATCACCAGGGGTGTTTTTTGTTTTTTAAATACTTGTGCCTGGAGTTCCAT